AGGCCTTCAGCTCTCACTGTACAGGCTTAAAGTGCGCTTGCAAAAACGTTCGCTCCTTTCATTTCTGAATGTGTGTTGCCTTCGCTGGCGCCCCAGTGTTCTGCATGCAGCCTTCTGTGGTCACGTGAAAGGAAACAGGCTCTTCTCCATGGCGTCGGGGTTTTGCACTCAGGGAAAAGCTGGTGTGCAAAAGAGCTGTCGAAGAAGGGAGAGTGAAAGACTGTCGACGGTCCTTTATGAGGACCCTTTTGGAGGAGCACTAACAACCTCCCTTAGGGATTCTTGGGAAATGGAAAAAAAAATAACCCATCTTTTTCAAGACTTGATGCAATTAAAAATCCTGCAATATGTTAGATCCATCGTGCTTAAATCGGCAGCTGCTCTGGAATTCCTGCCCTCCTTTCAAAGAAAGAACAGCATTTTAGAACAGTGGTTCTCAAAGTGTGTTCCCTGGACCCGAGCGCATCAGCATCACCTGGGAATTTATTTAGAAATGCAAATTCTTAGGCCCGAACCCAGGCCCATAGAATCAGAAACTCTGGGCGTCAGGCCCCCAATCTGTGTCTCATGAAGCACGCAGGTCATGCTGATGCACTAGAGATTGAGAACCGCTGCTGTAGGATGAAGTTGTAAAGTCTCTGCAAAGGCCTTACTCAGAATAAACAAGGAAGGTTCTGTGTCAACCTTAAAGCTTCAGCAATTTGATTTGCTTCTCGAGCTGACAGAAACCTCTTCCCACCCCACACAGCCGGGGGGGGGGGCGGTGCCCAGCTGAGAACGCACATCCTGACATCTTCCTGCTCCCTCTCCAGAGACCCTGAGATGTCCCCATCTCTGCATTTGGTCAGAAACCATCTCCTTGGCTGCCCTTTAGAACAACATCACTTGCCTTGGGGATAGTAAAGCTCTTGGTTGACATTAGTAAGGAGCCCGTTCTAGCTATTAATGGGCTTAACCAGACCTCCTTCCAGAGAACCAGGCTGACACCAAAGTGGCACCACTGCACAGTTCTCAGATTTCTTTGCACAGGTGGATTTCATTGCGGGTTTTGTCCATGTCTCTTCATGTTCATCTCCTTTCCACTGCCCATCTTCTGTGAAGCCGTACCTCTCTAGATGGAGCAGATGGTCCCTGCTGCCTCATACTCAATACTTAAAACCACTACATCCCAGCTACCTGCATTGCTGTCAGCTCTCAATCATAGCCAGGTAGTTCTTGAACTCAGAACTGTGACCCTGCAGGTGGCAGGCAGCCACCGACTGAACTGAGCTGGCATCTGTTGTCCCTTTGTGGTTTCTACATGAGAATGTTCGTCTAAGGTTTGAACTGTCTTGCTGATAATCATCCCCCTTGTCGTAGTTTTCATTGCCAACTCCATCACACGGTCGTTGATCCCATCGTACAAAGCCATTGCAAGGACTCTGGAAACTGCTGCCAATGGCCAATTCCTGACTAACCAGCCACCTTTTCTTTCTCTTAGCTCCACGTCAGCACTGAGACCAGACTCAAGCACCCCTGTCCTGTAACCGAGACAAAATGGCGTGTGTTGTTTTGGTTTGTGGTGGTTTTTGGCGGGTTTCTCTCCTTGGTTCTCCAAATTTACTTTTGGGGCCTGTTCTGAGAGCAAACCCAGCAGGTCTTACCTGTCCCGTGCATTAGATACAGTTATGTCTTGCGGGGGTGTTCCTTGTCCCACATGCATTGCACACCCATCCCCATCAGGGATGATGGCCTATATGAGCACTGGTCTAACACAGCCAACCCTCCTCCACAGCGCCATGTTCACGGGGGAAGGGAGGAAGGTGAAGTCTACTGTATGGGATTCAGGAATCAGTTGTGGTTGGTCAGGACGGAAGTCGGGGTACGTTTGGTTGGTCAGAGGGAGATGTGCTGGAGATTGTGAAAAATGGATTCTCGAATGATAAGGCAGGGAAGGTTCATTCGTAAGTAGTAATGTGAACTTAATTGCATAAGAGTGTGGCCTTTGTTGTGATATACTATGTATTTTCTTATATGCATGAGCCAAACTGTTGCATCATAATTTAGCACTGATGTCCGCCTTTATTTTGATCATCTTTGTCCACCCTTATTAGTTTTTGGCTGTTCACTGTAGATAAACATTGTAAATACGGCAACTTTTGGTTGCTGCAATCACCTTGGTTCAATTCCACGCAAGAAGCCACAAACAAGAACTCCAGTGTCCTCAGAAGAAAGGGCATTTTTACTTTTGAACCAAAAAGAGGGGGGGAAAATCAGAAGCGTCATATCTTGAGGCTAATTAACTATAAGACATTTTTAATTATGACTACTGTAATTTGACACCATTTGAAGTAACCAATACAGAGACCCTAAAGATTTCATGATATTCATTGGTATTGTAACAAAACTACTATTGTATGGGTTTTTTGTATTGCTGTTAAGTATTGTTTTGTGTGTGTGTGTGTGTGTGTGTGTGTGTGTGTGTGTGTATGTTGGAACCTCCTGGGGACATGTTATATTTTGAAGTGATTTAACTATTTAATTGTGTGTCTATATTTTGGAATGGAATTATTTCTTCATTAAAAAAAGTTTTTAAAAACACTATATCTTGGGTATGTTATTTCTTTGTTTCAATGAATCTTTCCTAAAGTAACATGAAGTCAGTCTGTTCAAAGGAAAAAGACAAGTCATTACTTGCAGTGTGAAGCAGGACCTATCGGTTGAGTATTAAGCATCTCAGGCAAAATATCTCACCTTTGGGGCTATGATTTTTTTTAATGGAAAGCCTTGTTATAGTCAATATGGAGGTGGGTTTGCGATGCTAATAGCTAACATATGCTTACTTTATATCAGATGTTGTTAGGAGATATGTACTTTATATTACTTATCTTGATCCTTTGAATTTGCAGCATCTAATCAGGTGGTTAGCAAATATTACATGCTTAACAATTATTTGGGAATGTGTGCCTAGGGTTTGAACGGTCTTGCTGATACTCATCCCCCTTGTTGTAGTTTTCATTGCCAACTCCATCGCACGGTTGTTGATCCCATCGTACAAAGCCATTGCAAGGACTCTCGAAACTGCTGCCAATGGCCAATTCCTGACTAACAGCCACCTTTTCTTTCTCTTAGCTCCACGTCAGCACTGAGACCAGACTCAAGCACCCCTGTCCTGTAATCGAGACAAAACGGCGTGTGTTGTTTTGGTTTTTGGTGGGTTTCGCTCCTTGGGTGAATAAATGAATTAGTGGCTTTTGTTCTGTGCTAGAGCTAGTGAGAAAGGAGAATGAGCATTACCTGGAGGTCATCAATATGGTGACAGCAACAAGACACAGGAGTCCAAGGAAGGGACAGACACTCAGAGCGTTGCCACTCCCTACATTCTCATTTTTCCTCTGAGAACCTCTGATTCCCATGCAGTGGAGTGTTGTGTGTTTCCTTGGCTCAAGAAGCCAATTCCTTTACAGAACCATTAGCAGAGTGAATGGCTTTTGGGGGACCTCTGCCTTGGAGTGGGGCTGCCAGTCTCTGCTCATGGAGTCTGGGGTTGAAGTCCTTGAAAATGCTGTAAACACTCAAGAGGCACCAGAGAGAGAAGCCAGGAGGCTCTGCATCAATTACAGGGGCAAATCCTGACCTGATAATCACCACTAGATGAAACACAGATCCCCCTTCACTTTGGGGGTGAGAGACAAGGGCGTGTCCATTGGTGCCTGTCAGTATCTTTTAGCTGCATCTCAGTGCCTCATCCCCTCATCCCTTAAGGAGCACATTTAGCTCTGCTCTCCCTCTCTTAGTATTCCTCTACTTTATCTAATTGCAAAAGTCACCTGAGGAGTTGGTAAATTCTGATGTAGCAGGTCTAGAGTATGGCCAGGGAATCTGTATTTTTAGTAAGTGCTTCGGTGATATTTACAGTTTGACAAGTTTTAAGAAATACAAGTCTCTTGCTACTCGAAATGTGGTCCATGGACCAACAGTATTAGCATCACCTGGGAGCGAGTGACAAATGCAGGATCCCAGGCTCAAAACCAAACCTACTAAATCAGAGTCTGCGTGTCATCAAGATCAAGATCCCTAGGGGATGTGTGTGCACCTTATGAAGAAGCTCTGGCCTGGAGTCCAGCTGTAATCCTAGCCCTCCGGGATTAGGTTCAGTTGGATCCTCAGGGGATCGAATGACAAGCCAGGGATGCTATTTCAGCTAGGATGGTGCAGTGCTTCTTGAACTTGTAGTTCTGATTTAGTGACTCTGGAGTGGGTGGGGCCCAAGATCTGCATTTCAAACAAGTTCTCAGGAAAGCTGATACTTGTCTAAGGACTCAACACTTGAGGTGCAAGGCTACAGAGTTCTTTTAAATAAGGCAAATTCTGGGGAGCTTGTTCCTGGTGCACAGGGTACAATAGTCCATCCCAGATCTTTGGGGATTCCTGTACATAGCAAATCAAGATACTCAAGTCTACGGACATGAACATGATGGAAGCTCTGTTGTCTTGGGCCACTCAGGTAACAGTTAAACTATTCCAGGAGCCCTCGTAGCAGACGGACTTAAGGATCCTGCCAAAGAAGTTTTTGCTCCAAGACTTGAGGCATCTGTCTCCTTGGTAGAAGGACTCACCCAGGAATAAACTCCATGAATCTAGTGACCCCAAAAGAGCAGATGGGCAAAGTTGGGATAATGTAACTTGGGTAAGGAGAAGCTGGCCACATTTCAGATTCATCATTTAGCAGAGTACATTAGCTACTGAGACACCTAGAAAGAGGTCCTCTTGGCACCTTGAGATCCTGGAATCCTGCCCTCTGGGTCTATGATGAAGCGCACACACTTGAAGCCCCATAAGGTACATATGCAATTAGAACTGACCTAAATGGACAATGAGGTATGTGTACAGGTGTGCCTCTAGGAACACTTAGACTAGTTATGGCATGATATGGTAGGCTGGAATACTAAGAAGCCTTGAAAATGATGATACAGAGAAATATTTATCAATATGGAAGATATTCACATAAGTGAACCCCAAAACAAAATTATAAAAGAGTGTAAGAATGGCTCAAGTGTTATAAATATTTGAGTGGTTAAGCACAGAAAAATATATATCAAAAGGTTGATGATCTTTTAAATCATGGGCTAATGAATTATATTTTTATTTTTTTATCATATTATTCTATTCCAGGTTCCCTCCCAAAATTATTTAGAGTATATGAGTGGATGGATGGATAAGAAACTCTTGGGTTGGGCAGTTTCTTTGTTCTAGTAGCAAGGCTGCTTGAACTGGCCAACATCTTGGAAGGGCATGTCTAACAATGAGAACTTTCTATGCCTTCAGTAAACAAAGGATTCACTTTTTGCCTATAGAGATGCTTAATAGCATTATTATTCCACAGAACATTGGGAAATATGTTTGCTTACTTTATTTTTTTAAAAACCTAATAAAAATATTGGAGGCTTAAGAGTCAAGTTAAATAATGATAATATTTGGTCCTCCTCCCAACCCTAATGGATACAGTAAAAACAACAACAAAAGAAAAGGATAGAAACAAAGCAAGTAAACCAGTAATGCAGGTCATACATCTTCTCCATGTCTGGTTCTGCTATCTCACGTGTCAGGTGGGGCTAAATCATAGCTGGGCCTGGCTCCTTCACTTTCTAGTCTTCTGATTGGGCCCCCCAGAAGGAGTGCTACTACAGAACAGTCTCAAGCAAGAACAACTGTTGCAACACAGATGGCCCTAGGTAAATGGTTTCTCTGACATTCCATTTTTCTGGAAGTCTCTTTGTGGCTGCTCTTGCTTAAAAACAAGCCTATCTGGGAAGGGCCAAGTAGACCAGCTCTAGACCTCAAAGAGAAACGTACCTTTGCTTTCCTTGGCAAAGGCAAGTCAAGAGGATAAGGAAAAAGGTGTGTGTTCAGGTGTGCCTCTAGGGCTTCTAGGCAGAAGGAGTTCTGCACACACTAGTCTCACTCACCTGGTGTGTGGGATCAACACCTTTAATGGCAATGAAGAGTGTTCCTTTGCCTAGCTCTGTCCTCATCTTTATCCATTCTGTGCCAAATTAACAGATTTATTGCATCTATCTTTGATTTTATGCATCTATCTTTTACATCATGTGGGAAATAAAAAGTGGTGTTAACAAGCAAAAGTGTAATTATGTTCCATTTCCACCCCAAGTGTCCATGTTGACACTACTTGGCATTAACACAGACCCCACAGGTGAAGGGCAAATTCTTCGAAAAGACTGCTCCCCCCTCTGGTGCCAGTCACAAGTCTCAGAGGCTACATGTGTTTCTGACTGACTGGCTATAAATTCAGGAATTCCCACTATCCCTGCAGGTTTGATCACGTATCAGAACAACTCACAGAATTCCCTGAAAGCACTGCCCTTTTATTACAGCTTTAATACAAAGAATGCAGATCAGCAGCAGCTAAAGGAAGAGGTACACCGGGGACGATCTGGGGGTGCAGGGGCAGGATAGAGAGCCCCTGTGCCCTTTCTCCGAAGAATCTGGGCATGCCACTGTCCCAGCAGCATGTTCACCGGCCAGGAGCCTCTGGGCAGCCTGACAAAGCCACAGGGTTGACTCTGGATCCCATCTCCATTCTCCCTTACAGGCCAGCTCCCTCCCTTCATTCCCATTTGGGGAAATCAGCCAACAAAGACAAGGCTGACAACATATGCCCTGTGATTGGCACAATACCTTCATAACAATGAACTTAACATCCCCCTACTGACTCTTCAAGGTGGCACTTTTTTCATGAAAATGGTATACTCATTGCTCTGTTGTTTGTTTTTTGTTAAAGAATCCTTTCCTTTTATTGATTTTGTAACGTCATCTGTCTCAGTTATATTTCAGAGAAAGACAGACTAAATTATAAAACTCCCCCCAGCGTTCCGGATGTAAAAAAAAAATAAAGTTTAAAAAAAATGTCTCTTGAGCTCTGACTGGTTTGGCTCAGTAGATAGAGCGTCGGCCTGCGGACTAAAGGGTCCCAGGTTCGATTCCGGTCAAGGGCATGTACCTTGGTTGCGGGCACATCCCCAGTAGGGGGTGTGCAGGAGGCAGCTGATCAATGTTTCTCTCTCATCGATGTTTCTAACTCTCTATCCCTCTCCCTTCCTCCCTGTAAAAAATCAATAAAATGTATTTTTTTAAAAAATGTCTCTCCCACCTCATGGCAATGTGTGTGTGTGTGTGTTTGACATTACCTATTGGTTGTTGGTATGAAAGAGCTCCATTTAAGGAAACAATGCATGGAAAGCTCCTCACCAGGTTCCTGAACATGATGGAAGCTCAGTGGTCACCACCTTCCCCTTTTTCCCTTGCCAGGTCTACAATCCTCAGTCATTCATAAAATGGGGGCAATCGGTTTTGCTTTTAGAAAACTCACACAAAAGTAAATTTAACTTAAAAACAAATATAAGGTTGTTTATCTTCCTTTTGTTAAGTTGTATGAGTTCCCTGTAAATGTTGGAGATTAAACCCTTATCGGTGATAACATTTGTAAATATGTTCTCCCATGCAGTGGGCTTTCTTGTTGTTTTGTTGATGGTTTCCTTTGCTGTGCAAAAGCTTTTTATTTTGATGTAGTCCCATTTGTT